ACAGATTTTATTCGAGAGCACTGCTCTAATCTGTTACATATCAACTATTTTTGGCCATGTTGTATATATTTTAATACTAACGACATATTTTGTATATAATTATTATAATTAAAAATAAATGATAGTTATATTTTAAAATAATTTAATATATTTATTGCATTTTTATGACAAATAATAAACAAAAAATTCCTTTCTTTTCCATTTTCCCAAATTATCAATTACATGATAATATCATATTAATCTTCTTAATATATAAAATAGAGAATATAACTTTAAGAAAATAATATGTATTCTTTTTAAAAATATTTTTTCGAGATATTAACAATATATAAGAAAATTTTATTTCTTTCAAAAAGAAATTTCTACTTAGTAGTAGTAAGTATTAGGTGAGTTTTTTAATTCATCGATTGATTAATTGTATTATGTACAAATGCAGCTTTTACGGAACAAAGTTGCATTTACGTATAATGCGATCAATTAATCGATTAATTAAAAAACTCATCTATTTAGCAACAAAGTTTAATGTAAAGATATTATAAGAAATATTATAAGAAATGAAAATTTATAAGAAGTAAAAAAATATCAATAAAATAAAGTTGCTTTCGATCTGCTTTTAATTAATAGATAATTATAACTTTCAAGACAAACATCATCTAACTTTTCAATTGTGTTACGAAAAATACACACACGTCATGAATAAAGAATTAATTCTCGGTATACGCTTGAATCACATCACGTCTTAAAACTGATGTTAACCAAATTCTTCAATAGCAGCGGTTGTATAAACACGAATTTTAATAAATACTTAATCGTCACCACATATGTCAGTTTCCGAAAAATAATTAAACAAAAGTCGTACGCTGCGTATGACGGATACGAAAATTTATTTGACAATATATTAATTAAAGCTTTTTGAATCGTTCAATTCAACGTTATTGAATCGTGGCAAAATATTTGACTTTGTTTGATATAAAAAGAATGCTTGTAAAAACGATGAATAAACGTAATCAAGATAAGGAAAGTGATATGGTAAATATATAATATTAGCTAAAAATTGCAAGAAATGTCAATTTAAAAGAATATTGTTTGTGAATTTAAATATCAATCTGTATTAAAAATAGAATATCAACATTATTTTGTATTTTTTATATAGAGTGAAGAAGATAAGAAATTACAGGAAGAATTGCTACAAGCAGTTGATATATTACAAGTAAATAAATTGTGACAGTTTCGTTTTTAACATAGTTTCGACTTAGAATAAAATGTATCTAAAATTTATCAACTCGTTCTTTAATAATGAAAAAACTGCTATCTTAGAAAAGAAATTGCATGTATGTAATTATATGTATGTAATTTTCATATCAGGGTAAAGATGAAATAGCTATGTTGCTGTCATTGAATCATCTGAGAATGTTGATACGTACATCTACGACTTCGATGACATCCGTTCCGAAGCCCCTCAAATATTTGAGAAATTTTTATCCGAACTTGCGCAACACTTACGAAAAACTCAAAAGGGAAGAGGCAAAGATACGTTTTGCAGAAATCCTGAGTGTACTCGCTCTCGCTGGAGCTACTCCGGAATCCAAAGATTGTCTGAATTTTTGTATCAAAGGAGCTGTGGATAATCCCGGGGAATGGGGCCATGAATACGTGCGACAACTCGAGGCACAGATCGTCGATGAATGGACGAATGCACCGATCAAAGAGGAGCGTGAGATCCGGTAAAATATATTATTTAAGTATAATTGTATATTATTTAAAAATATACGATTATATAAATAAAATGTTTTACGATGATGCGACAATCTGTAGCAGAAATTTAGATATTACTTCCTTGTTACATATTCCTAATGCTCAGTTTTATATTTACATCAACACCGAGAGGTAATGAGAACAATGTAAAATACACATTTACACAGCATATTTCTTGTGTATAGAAAACGTCTTACACCCTTGATCAAGAGCATCATAGCGTTCGACACGAGACACAATGCGGAAATACAAGCATGCGATTTATGCCTGGAAATTGACGAGCTGAATTTTCTCGCGGAATACCTGGAGCCTACAAATTTTGCGCGCGTGTGCTATTATTTAATTAGTTGCGCGGCTTACAGGTAATATTTACTGGATAATATTACTATAATTAAAAGTGTACTGGTCTTTTTGTTAAATAAAAGCAAATCTAATAGATTTTATAAAATAAATGATCCTTGTATTAAACACAATTTGAAATATAAATTCATTTATGAACGAAGTGTAATCTTTTTAAGCTATACAATTTGATGTTTAAAATATAAATATGGTTTCATATTTTAATAAAATATATTAAAAATATTAAGCTATTCACTATTCAATAAATTCTAATCCACTTCGCGTGTTTGTATGATTGAATTACTTGTTAAACTACACATATTTTTAATTCAGTGAAGAGACAGAAAGAAGACAAATATTAGAATTTGCTACGGAGCAATACCTAAAGTTTAACGAGTATACGAGAGCAATTTTGGTAGCGCTGCAACTTGTAAATTCGGAACTCGTTTTCAAGTGCATCACCGCTTGTTCCGATTCTTTGACGAGGAACCAACTAGCTTTTATCCTCTCCCGTCTGCAAGTAACTCTTTGCATAATGTCTGCATAGCATTTGAGTTTATTTCATAAGATCAGAAAGAGAAGCAACACAGTGCATAAGACAATGTTAATAGCGATTCAGAAATGCCCTACATTCCATTAATTTCATATACAGAAATATGTAAATGTATAAATCGTAATATAAATAGCTAAATTTCCTTCTATAGAAAATAAATTCATTTAAACAAATTAATTAATAAACAACAGTTACGCAATCTGCAAGCGTTTCTCTCTCTCTCTCTCTCTCTCTCTCTCTATATATATACTCGTATATACTTCTTCCTTTTAATCTAATAATAAGTATATCTTTTAATTACCTTTTACAAGAATGTAATAGGAATCAACTAAACTAAAAAAGGGATATAATTGTAAAGATAACATTTTGATTTTGAAAAAATTAATAATTAAAGGAAATTAATTTTACTCAATAAATTGACAATAAGATGAAATTGAATCTGTTTGCTAAATAGGATCAACCCTTGAGGTCGGAATATTACGGAGACGATGCTAAGAATATCGAGGCGATCCTCAGCAATGGCCACATAAACACCCATTTCCAAATTCTTGCCAGAGAGCTTGATATACTCGAGCCAAAGCTTCCAGAAGATATCTACAAGAGCTGGTTGGTAAGCGGATTTAGGCAAATGGAACATGATTCAGCTAGAGCGAATTTAGCGGCGAGTTTCGTTTCTGGTTTCGTGCACGCGGGTTTCGGCCAGGACAAGCTGATGGCAAACACGTCGGATTGTTGGGTGTATAAAAATAAGGTTTAACTCTTCAATAATTTAAGAAAAATATCTTAGTTAATGCCAATTAATCCAGAATTTTTATATTTAATAACTATATAGTTAATTAAACTTTGACTAGTATTCATAATCGATTCTTATATCAAGACTGTCTTAAGTAATGTCTTAAGATGTTAATACACACAGCTTTGTGATTGATTCAAGACATCTTAAGACTGTACTTAAGAGAATTTTAAATATAAATACTGATTTATACATAATCTCTTATGTAATGGGAATTATGAATAATTATTTATCATACTTTATAGAAAGACGGATTGAGAGATATGTATATAAATATTAAATATATATCTTTTGATTAAAAAGTTATAATATGAAAATATTGCAACGCAAATAAAAGCATGTGGTTTTTTTTTCAGGAACATGGAATGTTATCAGCTACTGCTTCTTTGGGTTTGATACATATGTGGGATGTCGACGGTGGATTAATTCCCATCGACAAGTTAGCATAAATTTCAAGCAAAAATATATTAATCTTTGTCGTGAATTAATTCTAACATTTCTTTGAAAAAAGATATAATAAGATTGTGATAAGTTATTAATCGAATTAAAAAAGAACTGTTATTTATTTTTGAACTTACTTACTGATGGTTCTATTATTCGCTTAGGTATCTTTATACGAACGAAGATTACGTGAAATCCGGTGCCTTGCTAGCAATCGGATTGGTGAATTGCGGAATTCGTAATGAATGCGATCCGGCTTTAGCACTTCTCAGCGAGTACGTAAAATCAAACAGCCAAATCCTTCGTATAGGAGCCATCCTGGGATTAGGTCTGGCTTACGCTGGGTCCAGAAGAAAAGATGTCACCGAACTTCTTTCTGAAGCTTTAGCCGATGAGCAAAGTAATGTAATTTTATGCACATAATCTTCATTTTTTCATTCCAGTTTGCTTAAAAAATGAAAGAATAAACTCTTCTTTAATGATAAAAAAAAATTAAAGATAATTTTGATATTTTTTAAATTGTACGAGATTTCTTTCTCTCTCGTATATTTTAATTTATTTTATATTTATACGACTAAAAATAATTAATCGTCACATAACTACAACTTTTTTTCAGATAATATACAAGTGTTATCGCTGATTGCCATTTCTTTGGGTCTTGTGAATGTAGGCTCGGGAGATTCCGATGTATCTTCGATAATCCTATTAAAATTATTGGGACTACCTATGAAGGAACTTGTTATTACACATTCTAGGTATAATTATATTATTATATTTATAGATAATATAAAATTCATATATAAATAATATTATAAATATTATACGTAAATGTGTAGGTATAATTTACGTAGGAATCATTTTTATCACGCAGATTTTTGGCGTTAGCCCTAGGAATGATTTATATGGGAACCCGAGACGCTATAGAAACACCATCCGCAGCCCTGGAGGCTTTGCCGGAACCATATAACTTTGCTTCGCAAACTATGCTACAAGTAAAATTAAATTGTCATGATTTTCTCGAAAATTATCTCAGAGAGAATTATTTCATAATCCAAATAGATTGTTATAATTGCGTAACTTCTTCGAAAAGTATACAATTAAAATCTGATAAAAGTAATTGTTAGATTTGCGCATACGCCGGCACTGGTGATGTATTGATAGTGCAAGAATTATTAAGGATCTGTTCGGAAACAATCGAGGAAGTAATGAGCGCAAAAACATCTGAGAATATTCCGATACCAAGTTGTTGCGATCAAAGACCACAAAGCTCTGCCAAATTAGAAAAGAATAAAAAAGACAGTAATCAAATCGAAGAACCTGCTAAGTAAGTGTATCATTAAAAGTAAAAATATAAAATGTTAAATGAGACATTAATAAATAATAATTTAGAATATAAATATAAATAAGTAACTTTTTTATATGAGGAAAAAAAATTAATTTTATGCTCCCACATATTTAATGCTAAATAATTATAGTTAAAAAATAATCAATGTTTGTATTAATTTCAGAGATATTGGAGCTTCACAGGCTATAGCATCCCTTGGGGTAGGTGTAGTTGGGCTTGGCGAGGGAAAGGAAAATTCGAGGATCTTTGGTCAGGTAAGAAGATTAAGTTCATATGAGACTTCAATAAACTGTAATGAATATTTATGAGGACGCTCCTATAGTTACCTAAGACCGAAGGAGACAAAGAAACATTTAAATCTCAATTCACCTCAATTAACGTTCATGGGTTTCTATAATTCATTCGCAGCGATTTAACTCTCTTTCTTTTCGTAGTGTAGAACTAGAAGCGGAAGATCAGTTAGAAGTGTAATCGACTTTAATTAATATTTATCTTGGGATGATTCTTATGATCCCTTGAGCCCTCGCTACGATTACGATTGCTTAATCAATCATAGGTTGGAAGATATGGGCCAACGCCAGCGCGACGCGCTATGCCTCTCGCATTAGCCTTATCCTCTCTGTCAAATGCTGACCCAGCTGTCGTAGACGTGCTGAACAAATACAGCCACGACAATGACGCCGATGTCGCTCTAAATGCGATCTTCGCCCTCGGTCTGGTAGGCGCAGGTACCAACAATGCGCGATTGGCGACGATGTTGAGACAGCTGGCGGCTTATTACGCGAAGAATCCGTCTCACCTGTTCCTTGTGCGTATTTCTCAGGGTTTGGTGCACCTGGGCAAGGTAAAGGCCTCGATAAAGTCGGGCCAATAAAAACGTTTACAATTAGATAATAACAGATAACGATATTAATAAACAATTTTCTTTCTGATGAATCGATTCGTCTCTCTTTAATATAGAATGAAAACTTATTAATGACCGTTCTTTCTTTTAAAAAAGTTGCATCCTTATGTATTATATTTTTTCTTTTAGGGCACTTTATCTTTATCGCCTTTGCGGTACTCTTCAAAAATTTTAGACTATACCGCCCTAGCTGGTTTGATGGTTGTCCTCGTTGCGTGTTTAGATTGCAGAAATCTCATATTATCTCAATCTCATTATTTAATGTACTGCTTAGCAATCGCGATGGAACCAAGATGGCTGGTCACTGTGAATGAAAATCTTACGGTATGCAAAAGGATTGTAGAATGTAGATATTCCAGATTTAAAAACGATATTATCAATATTTTGCAGAATTTACCGGTATCGGTAAGAATCGGTCAAAGCGTGGATGTTGTGGGGAAAGCAGGTAATCCGAAATCTATTGTTGGCGGTCATGTACAAACCACACCAGTATTGCTGTGCACGGGCGAAAAGGCGGAATTAGTGTCGGATCAATACGAGCCACTTTCCAGTGTGCTGGAGGGTTTCGTAATCCTTCGTGAAAAAGTAATTTCATATTAGTCTTACATCCTGTGGTGCTTCTATCTAATGTATACATTTTTTATAGCAGACTGTAGCGAGTTAGAAAAGCTCTAAAGCTTCGAAGTTCTGCAGTGGTTCTTCTGAATTGCCTTTTGATTTAAATGAAGTTTTTTTTTTGTCAAAGCAAGGCAATACCAGCAAACGTCCGCGAGCGGGATGTGACGGCAAAGGTTTTTCTCTCCGGATCTATATGAAACAGGTCAGGAAATGAGTCTTGTGCGTATAGCCTTTATTATGGGATATAAGCTGTTTGATAATTAACGCAATAGTGATAGTAACTTCGTTAGCTTGTTCGTATGTTTTGCATTTATTTAACTTTAGGGACTAGCGGAAGCAATGTGCTCTATACAACAGAAACATACATTGGTTCGCATTGCACAGTGGGAACAATAACATTGCGCCATGATCAGGAATACCGGTCGTACACAAAATCAATAAAAAACGTGAAATTTATTTATAATAAGAAAACAAAAGGAGATTACACAATGTTTTTACGCGAGTAAAACGTCTCCATAAGAAAAAAAAGAAAAAGAAAAGAAAAATTACAGTCGTGTTGATCTTAAAATTGACATTGAAATTGTATGTTAGCGATCATGGAGCAAGTCAGATTTTCTTCGTGATGAAGCTGTTACTCAAGGCAATACAAAGATCTAAAGACGTCTGAAAGATCGTCGCTTCAAAAGAATCTAGGATGCCTTGGTAGGAATTGTAAGTCTTATATAAAGCATGTGTGGGACGCTTTGTAAGATTAACAATTCCTCTCTTTCTCGCATAAAATGTCCCACGACATTTATTTGTTAGGCACATGACTTAAGATAAGGGGGCGAAATGTGTGAATAATAAAACGCAGCTGATTTGATAAAACGTCGCACCCGCGTCTGTAGTAAAGTATAGTTCGGTGACTTCGTTCGAACGAAGCGTGTCAATTTTATTGCACGCATGCATATTCGAATACGTAGTAAACGCATCTACATATAATAATCATACGGCGTAACAGTCAAAACTTCGATACGTCGCGTTTCTCACTTATATATGAAAATTCAACTGTATTCGCTTTGCATAAATCGGCTCTATTCATTGGACGCGTGTACGTCAGCTTAACTGCTTCGGCTATTACTTCGAAACTTTTTTAATTCTGTGCAGGACCTAATTTAAGGGTGGAGGATAATCGCTGCGGTATCCATAAAATTAAAAGTTTTACTTGATCAGTAATTACTAGTGAAATTATCGCGTTGTATCCCGAAAATAGCATAAAATAACTTTTGAAATATAATATATGCGATGAAAATGATTTATACGTTTTGCACAAAATACATCTCTTCCTTAAATTTAAAATATTATAAATTTTTATAAATATATAATATTATAAATATTATATGTATGCAGCATATAATATTTATATATTATATAATATTATACATATAATATTCTTCTATGACTTTTTAAAGAAGTTTTCCTTTTTGAAATACTATATAAACTCTTTCCTTTAAAAAATTACTCAAATAGATGCTATAAATATTCGGTTTGATTGACATTTTCAAAACTTGTTTTATGCTACTTCCAAAATATTGCGAAAATTGCTATGAATTGGATATGTTAATCCATATATGGTTAAAACATACTTCCTGTTATTGCTAAATCCACCACAACTATAAATTTGGTCCTGATTTTCTTATTCATACTCTAATGTAGAGTGATCGAGTAATTATAGAAGTCTATCGCAATCCGCACCGCAGAGCGTTTCTTTAGTTAATACATCAAGGATAATTAAAAGGATAAAGACAACTTGATATCTTCTCACACAAGGACATCGTATTTGCGCGTAAACTACTTTATAAAATAATCCTTGTCGTAGAGTAAGTTAAAAAGTGACAAATCACACGCAACTCGTTCGATTAATCCAGTGCAATCGCACCATTCAGCAAGCTGGGCTCACTTATTCTTAACTCCTCACTGTTGCACATAGTAAAATATAATAATAATAATATTAATAATAGTAGTTAAAAACTAATAATAATAATAAATCCTACATAGTAGCGTTTGTTTCCTTGCGTCATAATCTTCCACAAAGATTAATATGTATGTATGCGATTTAGCAAATACGCGGTTATGTACTTTGAAATATCCTAGCTGCTCCTCCACGCCGCTTTTTCAACTTCTTGATTAACTTCTTATTTACAATAGCAAATTGTATTAAGAGTTTTAATCGTAACTTTTTTCTATTTGATTATCTTCTCCCCTACATTAATATCAGCCCTATTCGTCAACGTGTATGAGTGAAAGTTGCGATATAAAGTTCCAAGATGGAAACTGAAGACAATTACGTCGCTAGTTCGCTAAATAAATCGGATCATAGATAAAGCTGCCTGTGGATTCGTTGCTGCGAGAAAAAAATTGACGACAAGTGGCAGTGCTTTCGCATCATTATATTGTGTTTGTGTGCGTATGCGTCTGCGTATGTTTGCATGCGCCCCAGTCTAGAGTTTATTTTGACGAGCGCATGTCAATCGGCAGAATGGTCGAAATGGTTGTCGAACACATTTTTTTCCCCGCGATACATCTACCCACACAGTAGGAATGTACGGTCCGTACCGCAGTAATGCAATCGCGACACGACGCGATGTGTGTTAAGCAAACGATATGACATGAATTAAAAGAGACGGGCACGTCTTTTGATTTCATTGCGACGCCACTGTGGCAGTCTGTAGAATTCCGATCGAGAGCACTGTAGAACAGCTTCAAATTCTGCATCGGAGAGGTGTCGCTAAAAAAAATCCGAATTATTTTCACATTATTGTAATCACGATGATTAATATATCACACAATTAAATTCAATAAATAACGCAATAAGAAGAAACAACAAAAAATATTATTCATAAAAATAAAAAATTATTACATGACAGTACTGTGTACAATAATTTTATAACTTATAAATGAAGCGATTAAACAATTAATGTTAGTACTCACCTCGAGATTGCAACGATCCACGTCAGCTGGCAGCCTGTAGTTGGTAATAACAAGTAAATGATAGGGATAAAGTTTGGGCGGTTCGGTTGGTGCAGCACCCATGTCCGGCAGCGATCTTCTTACATGATGACCTCCGTGGCCCCCAACAACCGAACCTAGGCCACCCGTATACGTGGTAGATGATGGAAGAATTCCACCATCATTCTGCGCCACAATCATACAAAATCATGAGTCACAATAGCAGAAAAAAAATGTGAATAATACGACAATGACATGGACGATGCGAGAAAGATGTAAGGGGTTGCATTTGCATTCTTCGAATTCTTAGAAAAGCAAAACGAATTTGAATGAGGAAAGATTCGCCAGATAATATTTTTAGAAAGTAATCTGATATAAAATATAAGTTTGAAACTTGTAAAATGCAATAAGATCTTTTCAAATATACATATTTCAATTAAAAATTTCAAGTGTCATGCATCCCCCAAAAATATTCTTGTCCACGCCTTTTTCAGTAAACACATTTTTTACACACTACAAAATTGTTATACTCTCGCTGCACAATAATAGAATAATATAATTAACAAATTCTTCTTATATACACGTACGAATTCGTATGACTCAATAGACTGCTTCAATATCAATTAATAAATTTCTAATAATTACTAAAAATATACTAATTGAGGATTTTAAACATTTTCGTTCCTTTAATATTTAGCATACATTGATTTAATCAAAATAGATTGAAGCATCCTACGTGCAAACACTTTAATTTTTTGTCCAAATTTACGCACTATATACAATTTTTTACTTCTATAAACAATGCTGTACAACTGTCTTTCAAATGCGAATGTATATACCATACATGCAGTCTCTTGAAAAATCGTTTTGTATAAAAAAAGTTTTTCTATTAAAAAATATTATA